TGACGTACCAGCTGACTCAGGGCGTGGTCAAGAACATCATCCCCGCCATAGCCTCCACCAACGCCATCGTCAGCGCCGCCTGCGTGCTTGAGGCCCTCAAGACCGTCACCATGTGCGCCGGCGGCCTCAACAATTACATGATGTACACGGGTGGGTGATCTGGGGGTGCGATCTGGGGTGCGATGTGGGTGATCTGAGTGGGCAGCAGCCTGGCCGGAAAGCAGTCATGTTGTGGCTGCCTTGTGGACTGCCGGGAGAAGGGGCATCGCATGCTTCAAGGGGGCGCGTGGCTCCCAATTCCCCAGTATGGAAAGCAGCTTTTATTGGGTCCTTCCAGAAAAAAGGTCCACCCCACGGCCATAGGGGTCCAACCCCACGAGCCCTGGCGACCCCCGCCCCCTGCCCCGCCGCCCTGCCCCCTCTTTACGCTGCAATTGTCGCCCCAGGCTCCCAGGGCATCTACACGCACACCGTGTCCTACGAGAAGGACGACGCGTGCCCCGTCTGCAGCGCAGGGGTGCTGCTGCACGCGCCCGCAGACGCCACCCTGCAGCAGGTGTCCGTCTGGGTCAGGGCCGAAATCAAAAGGCCCCCTGCGCCGTGCCTTGCGCCCCCTGCGCGCCGCGCGCCTGGCAACCCCGGCCGCCGCTGCCTGCTCGTTCTGTATCACACGCCCCTTCCCTCCTGCAGAAACCGGCCGCACGCCCCACCTCCCCAGCCGTTCACACCACCCTCTCACCCCCACGCCCCTGGAACCCTTGGCCCGCGCCCCGAGACACACACACATCCAAGCACCCAACCGCCTCCCCCCCACCCCCTATAACTCTATAAAGGTGATTGACCTCATCCTGAGCCACCCCCAGCTGGGCCGCCTGGTGGCCCACCCCTCTGTCAGCTACGGCGCCACCCCCCTCTACATGCGCGGCGTGCTCGAGGAGGACACCCGCCCAAACCTGTCAAAGCGCGCCGCCGAGCTGCTCGCAGCGGCCGGCGCTGACGTCAGCGAAGGGGGCCAGGCGGTGCAGCTGACGGTCAACGACAAGAAGCTGTCGGCGCCGCTGAGGGTGCGGCTTCGGCTCAGCGGCGGCGGCGCGGGCGGCGGCGGCGGCGAGCAGTGAGCGCGGCTGCCGTGCGTTTTGCGGCGCAGGCGGCGCGCGGGCGTGCGGGTCTGCAGTCAGTGATGACTGGTGTGGACGCACAGCTCGTGCTGTTCGCTGTGCTCAAGGCTGCTCACCAGCCCCTACCTACGGGCCCGTGTCATTGACTGACGCCCAGCTTGTGGCGGCCCACAAGGCGCAACAATCGCAGAGACAGTCAGCAAGCAGCTCATGTCAGGTCCCGTGTGCAACCTCGTTGGCTGAACCGCACACGCGCGTGCCACGCGCCCCTTGTAAGCCAGTGTCACTCACGCTTCGCATTGGCAGCAAGTTTTGTAGCTCGGCTCTGGCAGCAAACGTGCGTGCTGAACTGACACAGCAGGCGCTTTGACCGCAACGGCCGACATCTGGGGCACACCTGCCTTTCCAAACGCCAGGGGCCAAACGTAGCACATGCAGCGCTGAGCTGACACAGGGCGCAACGGCCGTCATACGTACTGGAGTGGGCGCCTACACAGCTGACTGGTCGCTTTGTTCTAAACGCAGACAGAAAGCTTACACCAGGCCCATGCTTGCACGAGCGCCGCCTCATCCCTGCACAGCGCGAGGCGCAGAACAACCACCCACCCCAGATCACACGCAACCAGACCGTCGGGACCGAGGCGTCCCCGCCGCCGCCGCCGCCGGCTCCGCGCGCAGCCCCGCCGCCACCGCTGAAGCCGCGAGCGCCGACAGCTGCATCAGGCGCTGCTCGTGCTTCCACTCGCACAGCTGCCCCACCCACGTCGGGGTGCGCCCCACCTCGATATCCTCCACCCCGCCCCTGACGATCGGCCTCACGGCGGCGGCGCCGCCGCCGCCACTGCCGTCTCCGCTGCCGCCTCTGGTGCCGCCTCCGCTGCCTCTGCCGCTGCCGCTGTGGCCGCCGCTGCGGCCACCGCCGCCGCTGCGGGCGACAACGCCGAGGCACCGGCGCGGGCCGGGTGCGAGGGAGAAGGCGCGGCGCAGCGGCTGGTGGCCCGCGCGCGCGTGGCGGGGGGCCGGGGGCGAGTAGGGGGCTGCCAGCTGGCGGAGGGCCTCCGGGTCGTCCAGGCGCCAGAGGTTTGGGCCCTGAGTCAACCAAAGAGGTGAGTGCGGCCAGTAAGGCGGTGTCGCATCGCCCTAGGATGAATCTAGTCGTGTGAAAGGAAGTGACGGCACCCCATGCAAGTGGGAGGTGCGCCCGCAAGTGGGAGGTGCGCCCGGCACAATGGGAGGTTTGCCCGCCGGCCGTGCACATTTGGCAGGCGCTTCCCAGTACATACTCTGATATACTGGCGCTCAGCAGCGCACCCACCCACCTCGCCGACGAGTGATTGCAGTTCAGGCGGCAGGGGGACCTTGGACTTGTGCTGAGTCAGCGGACGGAGGCGGGCGCAAAGGAACGGCGTCCTCATTTCCGTGGTCCATGCTCGTCCTCAAGTGGGACATGGCAACACCCCAGCCGAGAGGTGCTTGCTGTGCATTGCACTTTTCAACAACAGTCTGTTCACCCTACCATCCCCGCCTAGTGTCACCCCAGCGCCCGCCGCACCCTCACCTGCCTCAGCCGCCCCGCCAGCAGGGCGATGTCATCCCGCAGCCGCCTCAAGTTGACCGCCCCGCCCGGCCCCGCGTGCGCGTGCGTGGGCGCACAGCCGCCGCCGCCGCTGTGGCCGTGGCCCTGGCCGCCGCAGCTGTCACACTCCAGGCCGCAGCCCCTTACGATGGGCGCAAACGCCGACAGTGCCTCCTCCAACCGCCGCTTGTGGCCCCGCAGCAGCGCCGCCTCGGCTTCGAGCCACTCTGCAGTCCGGGGGTCGGCCTGCAGTCCGACACACAGGCAGTGCTGGTCAAGCAAGGAGGCAGCCAGCACTGAGAATGACGGGCAGTGTTTAACAAGAAGTAAGCCACATGTGAACCTTGTCATTGAACTTGCAAGCCGCCATCGCCGCCGCCATTCCACCACCACCCCGGAGCAGCGAGCGCGCCGCTGGCGTGTGCGCGTGCATGTGCACTCACCTTGCGCAGCGTGATGGGGCAGCCCAGCACGCGCAGCGCGGCGCCCACGTGCAGATCATGCGCCTCCAGCTCGTGGCCACTCGCGCCGTACACCACCACCGTCACTGGGCCGGGGTTGAACGTTTGAGTTGAGGGCGCGAGACAGGGCGGAGGCGAGTCCGTGCAAAGTTCCCATCGCATGCCAGGCGGTGCGGGTCGCCGCAGCAGGGGCATGCTACTGTATGCCGCAGCTACAGCAGCCGCTCCAGAATTTGCCGCATGAGGGGCCCTCCTGCAGGTCTCACCCACCTTCCAAACCATCGTCGCTGCGGACAGCCAACTCGGAGGTGGCGACGTGGAAGTGCAGCGCCAGCCCGACCCGCCGGCCCCGCTCATGGCGCCACGACTCAAACCGCAGCACGGGGGGCGGCGGGATGCCGCCGCAGCCCTCCCCACCACCGCTGCCGCCACCGCCGCTGCCGCAGCGCCGGCGTGGCGG